CTTGGCGAGTCCTTTCTTGGACTCGGCGAGTTAAGTCGTGAAACCCCAAACCCTTCGATTTAAGACTCAGATCAGTGAGTTGAGTGGGGACCCAGTGAGTGGACAGGTCAGGACTCGAAAATCAGTAGACTCGACGAGTCATGGTCTGACTCGTCGAGTCGAGTCGCGAATGAAACGGATTTCAGAGCTTATGAACTCGGCGAGGCAGTAGGCTGACTCGGCGAGTAAGGTCAACCTGGAAGGTTGACTGTGACCAAGACTTTGACTTTTGACCAGAGTTGACTTAGTTGACTTTTGAAGGACTGTCGGACTAAGTATCATTTTGATATTGGTAGCTAAGAGAGCTAGAGGAGCAGCGGCTCAGAAGGTTGTCGGTTAGCAGCCGGAGGGTTATCAGCAAGTTCAGCAGTACCAGGTGAGTTTCCTTCCAGTAGGAACGGGTCTAAGGCCACAATGCCGACCCGTTTAGCTAGTAGTAGTTTCCGGATTTCGGTCCGATGCAGTTTTTTAGTATGTTTGATGCCTTCGTGGCTCAGACAGGATTTATGTGTTATATGTTCTGGGCTACGGTCTGATGCAGTATGCAGTTTATGTGTTCATGGTAGTTGATATGTTTATGTTATGCTTTGTTCTGTCAGTTTCCGGACTTCAGTCCGATGTAGGGGGCAAGGCACCAGTTAGTCCGGACTTCGGTCCGATGCAGGGGACAAGGTCCCAATCAGTTTCTGGACTTCGGTCCGATGTAGGGGGCAAGGCCCCAGATAGTCCGGACTTCGGTCCGATGCAGGGGATAAGGTCCCCGTCAGTTTCCGAACTTCGATCCGAGGTAGGGGGCAAGACCCCAGTTAGTCCGGACCTCGGTCTGATGCAGTGGGTCAGGCCCAGTATGTGCTTTATATGTTATTGTATGGTATGTGGTAGTTTGGGGGAGCTCACTAAGCTTCGTACTTACGGTTTTCAGTTTTGGTTTCAGGTACTTAGTTTTCAAAAGAGGAGCTCGGAGAGGTTGAAGTGCACACCATAGTCAGTTAGCCTGAGAATGTATTACTCTGATAATGAGATTATGTTTTGAATTAATACTCGAAAATTATGTTATGACTTATGATACGATTTTATAAATATGGTTTTAGTAATGTTTTAAAAGAAATTTTTAGTCGTGATTTTTGGGTCGTTACACGATATATGAAAATAGGTAAAAAGAATCAATTTTTTTTTCCATTTCAGACATAAAAAGTAGGTGTTATCAGTGCCACACCGAGACCCTGCTAAAACTATCCCTACTAGCATGCCAATATATTTTAAGCACAATCACCTTCAATAGTGGCCATTCTTAGTATATACATGAACATACAAATAACATCAGTCTCATACCATTTTTCAGAACAAAAGGAAAGAATTCTATGATAATTAAAAGATAAGATTGCTATGCAACGAATTGGGGCCTTATGCCTGTAAAAAAACAAAGCCAAAGTGTGGACAAGCATAAAGGGCCTTTTTTCATTGGAGGATAAACTATAGTCAGAGATAGATATAAATTAATTGAGAAGAGCGATGAATAAAAACTCACTTATATATTTAACTTCGCAAAATGATTGACATCACAACTTCTTAGGCCATTCGTTATACCCACTACTAACCACTATAATGGTGGCTGTCACCTCATCACCACATCTTACCATTGAAACATCCACCTATTCACTATATTCTGTTTGGATCACCTCGAAGTCACTTCTCAAGGTATGTACTTTAGCCTCTTTTACTTAATCGGCTCTGATGTGCATTATATTAAGTGTCTCTCATCATTCTCTACTCATTTTCTTCTCAGCTAACACTAGAAGTATGTATTTTGTAACCTCTTGATTAATCACCACAAGTGTCATCCGAACTTTCTGTTCGTCCAGTTTTACCTTTTGAATTTCAAATCACACTACTTATGTTTTCAAATTCACTCGCAACTTTATTGCCCATACTAAGTAGTTAAACTGCAAGAGCATTGGATATTGTAAGATAACACTACTACCGTGCAGGGGCGGATGCATGAATACATAGTAGTTGTTATTGAGAGGAAATAGGTAATGCTGATATATGAAAAAACAATCGAAATTTTTTCCATTGCATTTAGATAAAGTAAGTGTTATCGGTGCTATAGTGGGACCCTGCTAAAATTACCCTTATTACCATGACGACATCCTTTAAGCAAACTCACCTTCAACAGTAGGCATTCTTGGAATATACATTAGCATACAAATAACATCTCTCATGCCCTTTTCTAGAACAAAGGGAACAAATTCTATGATAATTAAAAAGATAAACTGCTATGCAATGAACAGGGAACAAATTCTATGATAATTAAAAAGATAAACTGCTATGCAATGAACAGGGGCCTTATGCATGTTAAAAAAACAAACACAAGGTGTGGACATGCATAAAGGGCCTTGTTGCGTTGGAGGATAAACTATGGTCAAAGATAAAGATAAATTAAATGAGAAGAATGATGAATCAAGACTCTTTGCTATATTTAACTTTACAAAAGGATTGACTTCGCAACTTCTTAGGTTATCCGTTATATCTACCACTAACCAATATAGTGATAAGTATCATCTCATCACCACATCTTACCACTAAAACTATGAGTTATTTATTACTAACACACCACTCGAAATCATTTTTAATTACATGTAATTCAAAAATACAATAAAATGATTCTTTTTAAAAATTGTTTTTCATTCAATAAAAAAGACATTACATTAATTTTCAAAAAAACAAACTACAATTTAAAATAAAATAGAATAAAACATAAAAAATTCTGACACAAACAACTACACTTAAACCTATTTTTCTTAAAAAATATTTTGCAATTTTGACAAAATTTTCAACTTTAGCTAAGATTTGAGATGTGTAAAAGGTTTATAAGTTCTGTTTTCATATTGATCCATGAGCTGTTTTCATATTAATGCATGATCAGGTTAACCGAATTGATATCGCCATCATATATATCGTTTATAAAAAAAAAATTGTAAATTTCATCGAACTTGCAACATTTTATCTTCATATCGCGTCACTTCGAACATATTTCATCAACATTTCAACTTGTACAATCTATTATACCATAGAAAACGCTTGAACTTTTCTCCAAAAATCTTTAGAGATTGGACTATCTCCTTCTTCTGAAATAAACACCTATGTTTTTGCTACTTTCTCTTCTGAGCCTTCTTCTAAAATAGACGTCCATGTTTATGTTAATTTCACTTTTAACTAATTCCTTTTTTTTTTGGTAGACATGATTTTTAAATTCTGGAAGAATACAAATGTGTGAATATGAATAAAATGAGAATTATTGAATAAAAAATAAGATGATTTTTTGTGGTATTTATATAGATAAAAATTAAATAAAAAATTTAATAAAAAAAAGTAGTTGTTACTATGTCAAACGTTGATTCAAAGTGAAAAGATATTTGATTGAGAAGAAGTAATCCACCACCTTCTATTCTTTGTTTATCCCCCCTCCCTCTGGATTTGATATTTTGACATACATACAAACAAACACACAAATATATATATATATATATATATATATATATATATATATATATATATATATATATATATATATATATATATCAACCACTCTATCCTTTGTTTATCCCCCTCCCCCATGGTTTGACATTTGACACATATATATATATATATATAATATTATATATATATATATATATATATATATATATATATATATATATATATATATATATATAATAAATATTATTATAAATAAAAAATTATAAATAATTAATCAACGTTGCAATTAAATTGCCAAACAATAATAATTATTAGGGATATATAAAATATAATTTATTTTTGTAAAACTAAAAATTGAAATATTTAAAACGGTAATTATTTAAAAAAAACATTATATATATATATATATATATATATATATATATATATATATATATATATATATATATATATATATATATATATATATATAATTTTTTTTATTTTAAAAAGCATCCGGTTTCTTTTTTTTTTTTTTTTTGAACTTTTTCTTTATTTCAACTTTGCTACTTTTTTAAATAACAATTTTTTTTATGATTTTTACTTCATTTTGTTTTTTTAACCTTTTTATTGTTTTTAATAAAAGTTGTTTTTTTAATTTATTTTAGATTAGTTATTTATTTTAAATATCCATTTTTCTTATTCAAACAATTTTCTAACTGTCATTCTCTTCTAAACAGATTTTTTTACAAGTATTCTAAAGTCCAAAAACTCCAACATTATACATACAAGTAAAAACGATGATTAATTATCATTCTCTTAAAAATTATTTTACTTCAAACATGATTAATTTTAGGACCAAAAAAAAATAACAAAACTTTAGTGTGTAGTATCAAAATAGAAAGATTGTTTATATTTGTTTAATGTTGCTAAAAGAATAACATTTGAATGAAAAATACTATGAATGAAAATCGGATATGATTGCCTTGTAAATAGCATGATTATATTTTCAAATTAGATGATTTGTATGACTAAACTAGATGTTTCGTATGTACTCATAAAAACTGTTATTAAAAAAACAATAAAAAAAGGTAAAAAAAAAAAAAGAAGTAAAACTGATAAAAGAAATTATTTAAAAAAAAGAAATTGAAATAACGAAAAAGTAATAAAAGAAAAATAGATTATTTTTAAAATAAAAAAGCATTAAGAAAATTGAAAAGTAAAGAAACATAAAATGAAATACTAGTTTGGTAAATATTTTTTAAAATATATAAAATTAGTAAATATTTTTTCTAATAACTCTATTTTGTTCAAAAACTCATAAACCCACAAAAGTAGGCAAATCGGGTCCGACGGAAAAAGAGAAGAAATGTTAAATTAATGCCGACTTTCTTGGTTGGTTTAATCATCACATGCTTAACAACAAATAACTGTACCAACAAGAATCCATAGAAAATGAAATTAGAAAAGATAGTTAATATTAGTACCAAAAAAAAAAAAAATTAGAGTCTCAAAGTAAGATCAGGAGTGACTGTTGCATCAACAACACTGACTGTTTTCGGCAGTAAATCAACAACACTGACTGTTGCATCCACTTGACGGAAGCTTCCCGGCCACAACATATGATCATATCCGTCATCGTCCACATATATAGGAAATTCTATAATTCCATTTATGTATCTTGGAGATATGCTGTTAATTTCTGGTGGCATTCTCGTAAATGGTGGCACAAATGTTTGGTGTTGTGACGAATGAGCTTTGATTTCGAGAGATCTTAATGAAGCTCCATGGGGAGGAAATGTCGCAACCTTGCTTGCATACTTTTCAGAGAATATACCCATTCTCACAGCACGCTTTGCAAGCATCCTCTCACTTTTATGCGCATTCTGGTGTCCCCCAAGAGCTTGTGAGCTGAAGAATTTTCTCTTACAATAATTGCAAGGAAAAACTCTTGGTAGAGATCCTGGGGTTGCATGAGTTTCTGTGTGGTTTGTGCTTTTACTTGTAGTCGATATTGAACCTCCCATTGAATTATTTGATTCAAATTTATACATGTTCGACTTGAAGTTTAGACTCAATTCAAGGGAAATAGGATCATAAGTGTGGGATGTTTCCAGTTTTTGGACAGGACGTGTCATGGTTGTTTGAATAGATATGTTGGAATCAAGCTGGCTGTTGTTACCTGAATCATCGTCATCTTGGACCTCAATTTCCAGGTCTATGCTTTTGGGAAACTTCATATTGGAGATTGACCTCAACGTGTAGTTGACAATTCTAGTCAATTTCTTTTACCTACAGAATGAGCGCACATTGTTAATTGTTTAGTTAGTATAGGTTTTCTTGTAATAATATGAATGGATATTGGGAGTCGTATAACCAGGTTGCACCACACCCCACCATGGTGGCATATATGAGAGAGAGAGAGAGTTCTTTCACTGCCATTTTGGTCCAAATGTTAAAAAAATCTACTTAACTTCTCTCTCTCTCTCTCTCTCTCTCTATATATATATATATATATATATATATATATATATATATATATATATAGAGAGAGAGAGAGAGAGAGAGAGAGAGAGAGTTTATATTATTTTAAAATTTTCGCGACAATTAGATAGCTTCCAAAATATTGAGATGCTGTTACATTGCCTCCCAAACTTTGGTAACGTGCGTTATCTCTTTTGGTCATGCTTTTAACGCTGTGTTATGAATTCAAAGTTTATATGTTTAAAAAAAAGTACAGCTTAAAGTCACACACACATATATATATATATATATATATATATATATATATATATATATATATATATATATATATATATATATCGATTTAAGTTCCGTGTTACAAATGATATGAGTCCTAAAATATTAAGATTTGATATTGTTGTTAAATCACGTCTAATATTATTTCGAACATTACTTTTTATTAGAATATTTAGAACAGATACAAGAAAAAGGATAAGAAAAAAATTACATAATTATAAAAATACGTACCAAGTAATTAAGATAAAATTCGATGAAAGAATATTACGTCCATGTAATACTAAAAAATGCAAATAAAAAAACAGATTCAACTACTTGACAAGGCCGGGTATTTAGGCGTTCACAATATGTTACTCAAATTTTGATCAAAAGTTATTGTAGATT